AACACCATAGTCCATCCTTCATCGTCACGTTGGTGCAGAGAAGAGGTGGATCATTGTATCCCAGATGGTTGGATTAAAAGTTTGTACTTTCAATGTGTCTTGGAAAGAACTTTAAATTGAGTTGACCGCCTCTGATCGAATTCAAGGAGCCAATATAATTTTTTTTTAATCAGGACTCTGGTTTGGTCTTTTTTTTTAAAGTACTGGGTGTTGTGAATAATACGAAAGGAAGTAGAGAGTTCATCGGGGGCTTGGGGGAGGCGACGGAGATGTGTCCTCTTTTTCAAATCTTGGATCCGCCGCTGCAAGGAGATGCTTCTGTTAAACGGGTTTTTGTATCTTTCATATTAGAGTTAAAAGAACGACACACTTGGAACCAGTGACAATAAATAGTAACCTCTAATACCAAACATCATCCGATCCCGTACCGAAACGGACGCAGCTGTCCTGTTGATAAAGAAAGATTTTTTTTGGGGGGGGGGGAAACCTCGAGGGCTAAACATGGCGACATTCTGGGTTACTTCCGCCTGCCCACAACCCCTTCGGTCCTCAGCAATATTATTAATAAATTACATTTCCTATATGAAAATAAGATATTCTCGGTAAAGCTCATAAGGAAATTCGGGGAGTCTGACCCCCCCCCCTCCCCACCCCCATGAGAGCTTGGAGAGGGCCGGCGGTTCCTAAATCAGATTTTGTTATGAAAAATTTCGTAACCCCCCCCCCCCCCCATCCCTGACATTGAAAGCTCCTTCCATTTAGGATATGCATAACAAAATCATGTCTGTTAAATATGAAACGGGGCAAACATTATAGTTACGGTCTTTGTTATAATTGTAATTAATAAAAACCTACTCAATTCAACAGACATAATTTCTTGTCAAGTTGGTGTCCATACTCAGCGAGAATGTACTTCGGATACCATTGACTTAATCACGGCGGATGCACTATTTAAAATCTCTCTTGCAAGACATGAAAGCATGAATTCGTTTATTTTTAAAAACCTGGTAATGATTCTGCCCTACATACCTTCATGGTGAACGAAGCGTGACAAAATACGACGAAAAGCAATTTCAATATTCTTGTATCATGTCAATATATGCTTACTTGTTTACGTTTAAGAGTACGGGGAACCCTGCCGACAGTGTCCTTTTTTAATCATTAACTTGTAATTGTGGCGCCAAGGACATGTTCGACATCGTGCATTAAGATGGCAGATGTTAATAACCCGTGAAATATGTTTCATACAGATAAGTCACTTGTAGTTAGAGGGATTTAGGGACAATATTCTACAAAAATGTTGGGAAAAAAAGTGATTCCCCTTTCTTGTGTAAAAAAATAGAAATAATGGAAACATAATTTGGAAAGATGCGAGTGAGTGAGAGAGAGAGAGATGCAGACAGTATGGCAGGGGTGGTAAAATAAGAGGAAAACACTGAATAAATAAAAAGGAGGGAGAAGTAATCCGAAGATAAGAAACAACACGGTAAAAAGTAGAAGAAATGGATAATAGAAATAACTGAAATAATTAAGAGAGAAAAGGGATACAGAAGAATGAATTTAAAAAAGTCTTTCTGTCTCTTAAAGAGATTGTAACAAGGCAAAAGAGAAAGCGAAAGACAGAAAAAGAAAAAAAGTAAGATAAATCCAGATTTTAGTGAGAACAGCAGAGAAGAAGAGCATCACTTCAGCACACAAAAGAGGCCGGTTGCGGTGTTGGAAACCATTACGTCGGTATCAGTAGAGAATGATTGATTTTCCTTGCCCTGAGATATTTGGGAGGAAGGAATGTCTTGGAGCCAGACCTATAACCTTCCTGCCCGTGTCACCCTCCTGCGGCTGATAGAATATCGTTCTCTCAGGGGTGACGATTGTCTCACAATCGTCACACGTACGCCTGCTCGATCGGATCCTGGCCGAGCCCGCCAACATTTCCCGCCCGTTCTTAAACATTTTAGATAGTCATGGGCGATGTGCAAGGGTGTTCAAACATCCATCTCTATACAAATCGTGAAAATTATCATTTTCATGACCCGTCCTGATTTTTTTAATCGCTCCTCCCACCCACACATAATTATGATATGATACATTGTCTGCCCGCAGTATTCATGATCGACTTTTGTCATCGATTATTTTTTTTTTGGCAAAACTTCTAGAGCATCGTTAATTTGATTTCACACTTTTTTTATTCGTCTTATTTCTGATGTATTTCATTGTCTGTCTAGTCGTTTCCAGGTACATGATCATCTTTTATCATCAATCGTTACTCTTCCATCTTTTTAACGGCTTATATAATTCTCGAATATTCCTGTCCTCTCTTTCATTTTCCGCATTTTCTTATCTTACCTTCTACTTTCATTTCATTATTTTCATTACTTTTTCACATTTCTTCTTTTTTCCCCAAATCTTATTTCAGTCTGCTTTTCTGTAATCATTTATTCATTATATTTTTTACCACTCTCATGTGGCAACAACATCGATATTTTTTGTTTCCCCCCCCCCCCCCCCCCACTCCCCGACTAAAATATCCATCCATTGATGATGTGAAGGAATCCCCCACACACCCACACTCACATGCTTAGACCGTTCAGTATTAAGACTAGAAAGCTGTAAAATCAGTCAATGGTGTTAAAACTTTTTGTTTTCGTTCCCTCCCTGCTAAAACATCCACCTAATTATTTGAGGTTCGTTATCATTTTATATAGGGAGGAAGGAGTAATAACCACGCCACCCCCTCACTTCGTTCTGCCTTAAGACGATAAAAAAGTAGGAAGCAAAAAATGTTGTCAATCATTTACCCAATTTAAAACAGCGTTGTGTTTTAGTTTCCCTCCCTTCTCAAACTTCAAACTTTTTGAAGGTTATTGTCATTTTGACGGGAAGTAGAGGGTAAAGAGCCTACACCCTCCCACATCTACCTTCTCCAGTCAGCCTAAAGACAGTAGAACGCGAAAACTGTTGTCTATCACTCTCTAAAGTTGAAACAACGTGGCTATTTTTGTTTCCCGTCCTGCTTAAACATCCACTCATTTGTAGGCGCCGAGCTTTCGTCTCTTCGCCACGCATTAACCCAACTTAAATCGATTATTCCGACTATTTTAATCGCGAAAAGGAGCCATTTTGTGACGATGTGTTGACAGTTGGCTGAGTGATGGGGGTATGAGTAGGATGGGAGCATGATCCTCTCTCTATTGCCTACCACGACGGGAAATACATGAGAATCAGAGACTAACGGTGTTAAATATACGTAGAAGACGTGGATAATGAATCGGGAGGAGGAATAAGGCTCAGTCATGGACCCTTAATCAAAGTCATTACGGTATCCTCAAAGCGAAATGGTGCTAAATATTTCGGTGACTTGTGAGCTGTAGATGCATGAGATGCGTTTACACGCAACTTTAGCATTTGATGTTTGTATATTTTGCTTTTTTTATACAGGGATAATACACTGTACATACACACCTTGTGTGAACAGACGAAAGAGTTAAATAAACATGTCATGTATGAATAGTGGGCGATCACAGTGTGGTAACACACTTTTCCACAATTTGGAGTTGAGGTATTTCAATTATGACGATAGTTGTGTCCATAATTTGAGATGTATTGCCACACAGTCTCAACAGTGTGGAGACGATTTTAAATTTGTTCATTCTGTATCTGGATGTGTCTATACACAGTGTGGTACCTGTTCTGTCTATGTGTGGGTCTACACAGTTTATCTGTGTTCACACCGTCAAGACCAGATTGCTAACATACGTGTGAACTACAATGTGATATACTTTTACAGGGTTGCAACTTTCTTAATAGTATTCTATTTCCAACAGCTCCATGGGTGAAGGAACTTCGAAATTCTAATTTTTGGTTTGTTCATCTAAAATTACATCTCATATTTGCATTAAAGTCACCTCACTCTATCAAATTCAAAAGGAAGAGGTGTTTGAAGATTCTATTTTACATTTCGAGCTTGTAGATTTGACGATTACGTGGTTGAATCCATGTTCAGAAATCCTGATCGGAGCTTAGTTCTTCAGACCCAATTATAGCGGATGCTTGCAGGTATAAACAGAAATGAAAGTTGAAAGTAAAAACTGTCTTAATATTCCCACCCCGCTGGCTTACATTAAAATTGCACTCTCAAACCGGGATTCTGGCTTTCGCCATACTAATATGTCGCTATGTCTCCAAGACATTTACACCAATGAACTAAAAACTGCGACCTAAACTGTAAAGGGACGAATTATTAAAAAGAATATTCTCACCCCTCCCCTTCCCCTCAAGGAAATTACTTTCCTTTATTTTATTCTTTTAATGACAATTAATGACAAAGTACTTAGCTTAATAGGAAATAGGTTTTTATTATTATTTTAACCATTAATATTATTTTGTTTATTTTTATTTAATCATTATCATTAATACATGTATTATTATTATTTATTTATTTATTCAGTTTTATTTAAAAACAGGGTAGTCTTTTCAGTGCCAGAGGCCTGCTTTACAAAAGAGCCCTGTACATACAAAGATTTACAAAAAAAATAGAATACATTGTAGAAAACAAAGACATTATATAAACAACATACCATAAGAGAACTAAAACAACTTAAAAACTAGATCAAAGTGAACATAAGGCATGAAATATTAAACATTTAAGATATTAGTAGTAGTAGTAGTAGTAGTAGTAATAGTGGTAGTACTAGTAGTAGTAGTAGTAGTAGTAGTAGTAGTAGTAGTAGTAGTAGTAGTAGTAGTAGTAGTAGTAGTAGTAGTAATAGTAGTGGTAGAAGTTATCACTCATCAGTGGAAGTGTTATGGTATAATGGTCCCTTCATGAAGGATCTGAGCCCCTGCTTGGCACTAACGTCGTTTTACAATCGACATTAATCTACATTTGCCACTGTCCACCCAGGTGAAAATGAGTACCTGATATGTTTAAAATTAAGCACTACATCTGGGACGTAATCAGGATAATTGAAGGCTTTGAATTTAAGCAGTTGAAAAGGGGAAGATGCTACATTACATTTAATATTAGACTTTATTATCAGCAAGTGACGTAGTGCTAGAGATTCAATCACAATGATGATTTCATTGATGTTTCTATAATTCGTTTTTTTTTTCTTCTTTATCTTTTAATTTTATTTTCACAGCTGAGCTAGTTCTACTACTTTGGGGCATCAGGTTGTGTTATGTGGTGAGAAAAGCGCCCTCAGAGTTCAACGAGAGCAGATTTATTAGTTGGGCAATTTACAACGAAACACTACTGTCTCTCTTCCTGTGTGTCGCAACGTAAGTACCCAACGTTTGGTTAGCCATCTCTCTCTCTCTCTCTCTCTCTCTCTCTCTCTCTCTCTCTCTCTCTCTCTCTCTCAAATCTCTTTATTTCCGTTAGGAGGTCCAGATGAGAAATATCCGCACCATTTCTGAATCGAATTACATAAAGATTTCTTCTTCTTTTTTACAAGAGTCATTGTTTATGAATTTACTAGAAATGGCAGAAAACATTAATTTTCAGTCACCTTGGCTCTTTTAGAAATTAGAACAATAATTCAATTTGAAACATAATTATTGCATGCGTCTTCAAATTAAACTCTTACAAGTGCAAAAAGAAACAAAAAAACTGGAGAGTAGAGATGTTGTCACGTGTAAAGAAATGGCAGAAATCTTTTCACAGTGATAATGAAGCCCCTGTGATGGTTTTGGAACAGTGAAGAAGATATTATATTTCAGAACCGTATGCTTTAAAGACAGATGCTAGTCAAATAAAGCTTATCAGTCTGAAAGTAATATATACAGTAGTAATTGTATTGATTTCGAGAAACGTCAGTAATACACTCTCACCCATGTTACTATTCGCGATTGATAACTTACTGAATGCACATGCAGTAATACGATCTCATATCGTATTCGTTTTTGACGCTACAAAAGATGGGGGGTTTGAAATTGTGGCAGTGGAAACAGGATTATAAAAATGCATATTCAAGCAATGTTTCGGATATATCTCTAGTGACAAACGGGATAGCAACGGACCATAACGATTCCCATTTTACCGTATATACATGCACTCTCTGAGGACAAGCCAACTGTCGCTTGTTACTCGCCCAAGTACTATGAATGACAAGCGGCGAAACCGTTGTCATTTGTAATGTGCTTTAGATTCAAAATCCGTTCCACTTTCATCTCCAGTTGAACGATTTTGATTGGGCGGGGGGAAGAAAATTTTCACCCCTTTTTAGTAATTCTGACGTTACATTAGCGTCCCCATGATGTACTCGATAATGCCTTCGTCTTTAACCAAATTCGGGGTGAATGACTCGCTTTTTTTCTCTAAGGATATCCTCTTCCTCACCCCCCCCCCCCCCTCCCGATTTGATGTTTATCAAGAGATGTACGCAAAGTGAGAACAGGGAATAAAGAGACACGTCAATTAGTTGAAGAGTGTTGAACCGTCTCCAAATATTTTCACGAAAATACGAAGATGTTTGGAAAAGAAGCAGTTTGATGGGGCGCGTGTTTATCCCAACAGGAAAGCTTATTTGTCACATAAGTGGTTCTGGAAATGGTGTAGATTTGAAAGAGAATCTCTACGCCGGAAAAAAACGAAAAATGATAGAGCAGTAGTGTGACGGAAGAGCCTTCTTTTTCATTAGACTTTTGTGAATTTTTGTATCACATTTTGTCATAATTAAAGATGACATTTTTAATATTTTTGTCAAAATTGACAATGTAAATCCAAATGAACCTTGAAATATTTAACGGGAATAGACGTATGTGTAAGCAAAAAAGAACCTTGTTACCCTAGAAATTGTCACAAATCAATAAATGAATATTCATGACCGTAACATCCAACTTCAAACTCACAAGCTGTTAAAAATGACAGAGGATTTTCTCATAAACCTTGAGAATGAACGGGTCAAATGTGTAATAGAAAGCCCCTTTGCCTCAGAGGTTATAGTGAGTCTTTAATGTAATGATTATTCAAGACAAAAAAATATCAAATTCTAAACTCAAAACTTGTTAGTTGACAGGAAAACTCCAGATAATCCAGATAAAACACCATGAGGTAAATTGTATAAGAGCCACTTTGCCTCGGAGGTGTGTGACACAGCTATGTAATGATCATTAATGATGACAAACATATACTTACAAAGCCGGCTCTGACACTGATCACATCTGTCTTGCAGTCTAGTGTAAGGAATCATCAAATGAGGGATTAAGATACCGTCACCACACTTTTCCGTGGGTGTTTTTGTGAGTCGAATTCGAATTCTGATGTGAGGGAACTTCATCCGCATATCTGACTTCCAAATTTCATTCCCGTGTGATACAATTTCAGTAACGGGAAACTGAATGAAATGTGTGAAGAATTATCCAAGGAAATAGAGAGAGGGTACGAATCAAGACAAGGATAAGCATTTCAGGAATTTCTTCAAATTTTCTCCTTTTTTTTGGGGGGGGGGGTATTGCATAAAGTTCACTTTTGTACCGTTGAGTTAAAGTAGAAAGTGCACTTTATATATGATGTAACCATAAGACATAATTTACTTGATGTTAGTTTGAATATAGACTGATAGTGATTTCATTGTGTTTCATATCCAGTTGAAATCACATTTTGTTTAATTACTCATATTTATTATTAGAAATTCCTTTTAAAGTATTTTACTTCCTTTTTGATCCGTCAACAACAAATGGTTTGTTATACACCTCTTTCTTCGCTCTACTTTCTTTCATAGATTCTTCCTCCAAGATTTGGCCAACCCAGATGTCTTATATCTCATTTGGTTCTTCTATAGTCAGCTTACAACTACCGTAGTAGTACTTCTTCTCTTCGGTAGTAAGGTAAGTCAAGTAGCAAGTCGTCGCGGGTACATCTCGGAATTTTTAAATTGGAGTCATATAAGGTGTAACCCCTTGTTTTACACAGTCAACTAGCAACTATCGTAGTCATAGTTCTACTCTTTGGTATAACTATAAGGTAAGTCAACGCATATGTAGACAAAATATCTGAACCCCCCCCCCCCCCCGCATCCAAGAGAAAGAAATTGCTGGAAAATTATTGTAGGCCGTATCTGCCTGACGCGTGGAAAGTCTGCAGGCTCAGTATGTAATGCCCCCCCCCCCACCCCCCCCCCCCCCTGTTTTCATTTCAAAGATATACACATTTGTTGAAGTGCCCTGGAGTGTCTTTGGATGGCTTTCAAATTAGATTCCCGCACAGTCATCGTTGTCATTCTGTCAAATTCTTATGGTATCAAAGCTAATCCACCAAGTAACAAAACTCTAACGGTGACATGTTTAGCTCTAGGAGATTATAAAGGTTTGCCACAGTGATGGTCAATGTCATCAAGACCAGTACTGGCTTTCTTCTATTTGCCGTAAGGGTAAGAAGATCACCTCGAAGCATTATGAAAACCGCAGTGTCTGAGGAAAGTTTACCCACACTATTGTCCAAACATAGAGTTTGTGAACGAATGGTCTCATTAAAGGTATTACAAAGTTTTGGTATAGGGTCATGAATTTGGTTCAAATTAACATATTGGAAGCATATGCGTTCCTACAATATTAATTGATCGTTGTCGCGGTTGAAATCGAGTCTAAAGTTATGAAATTATGAATAATAAACTCTTTATGTTGTATAGCTCCCTCTCAAGGTCAAGATATTAATATAGCTATGAAACAATAATTGTTCTTGACTAAAATCGACCAATTAGCTATTCCCGTTTGGAAATTATATATCACAACTACATATTCTGAGATTTTCATGGTCGCAGCTACCATTGTACGGCCATAGGCGCTATTTGAAATTTATCAAAATTTACCGGGAGCACCGGTAAATTTTTATATTAGCTTTTTCTCGAAAACAGAAGTGTTTTAGGGGCTATTTTTTTAGTGCTTATAATACATCCACAGGGGCATCCAAATATATCAAAATTGTAAAGATTCACAATCCACCCAATTTTCAAAATTTACCAAAACTTTGTATTACCTTTAAGGTATATGGAGATAAAAAGTCAGAAATGGCATACGATGAGAAGACCACCCCGGTGCATAATCCAAACTGCAGTGTCTGAGGGAAATCTGCTGAAAGTATTGTCTAACGTAGATTTTGTGTCAGGATGTACTTATTGAGGTTCATCCGTTCGGTCTCAATTACCAACAACAATATAATTCAGTGCAATACGGAATAGCGTCTTCCAAGTTATAGTAGCCGTTAAAGCATTCAAAGTTGTATCTTAATGGTAATCTTAACATGGATGTTTTGACAGTATTGACATATCATCTGTCAAATCCATATGATTAACAACCACAAGGAACTTCGTTGAAGCCCTGACTATAGTCAACACATTGCCATAAAAAATCAAAGGTTATCGAGTACTGATCATAACACGTTTGTTTTGACCGCAGAGGATATATTTAGGTACGTCCGTATGGTATACGGTTACAACTGCCAGACCACAATGAAAATGACAACAACCTAGAAGAGTGTCTTACAGGAAAGAAGTTGCGGTGGTTAAAGCAATAACTACCCATAATGTTGATCCGCAATGGCGTTACGAGCAAACACTTTGGGGCAGAAAGAAAAAAATATATAATTTATTAAAAAGTGAGAAAAAACTCGGAAAATCATGTAATTTCAGCAAAATTTGTAAATAAACCACGTTTGAATATTCAAATCGTGCAAGGAAACCCGTTTACTTTATAGACTTCATTGTCAGACACTATTGAGTGACTTAATGGTAATTTATCTTTGGTAATAACATACATAAAATGAGCTGAAAATAGTACATGAGCGTTTGTCTACATCAATAACCCATTTCATGTAATGGCCAAAATTAAACTGATTGGATCTTTGCGCAGCACAAAACGTACGACAATTCGGTACAAGGGTCTGAAAATCAGTTTAATTAAACACTGCAATCCCTAAATTTGATTCGACAACTAACGGTAGACATTTTCAAGCACTTTTGTTTTGAGGGGACGTTCTAAATTAGTATAATTTTTCAAATGCCGTTGGAATTTAACCTTTCCATTTGTTTGGCCTGCCGCCTGCAAATGGGACACAGTTCCTCTAAGACGGCAAAAGTAACCAAAGACCCGCCTTGTCAAAAGTCGTCAACCGCAAATCTCCGGAATTGATGAATTTACACTGCAGATGACTTTTCACCTTTCGGCAAGGGATCATGTTAATAATTGATCCTCTAGATGAAGACCTGATATATCGCGACTTTTGTTGTAATGTTTTAAACAGAGCCTTAATTGCCGCAAGGAAAAGATACATATTCATAACCTGAGCTTAGTACGTAATAGCGGATCGCTGCGAATCTTATCTCGTGTGCTCTCGAGGGAAAATCCCCTCTTACCTCACGCATCATCATTCTATACTAGTTTGCTCTGTTCTGCTATCACGTCGGCTGACCCAGAAATTGACCGATTGTAAGATATATTTAATGTTTTTCTCTGATTTAATTGCCTGCCCGGAGAGAGCTGTGTCGTCTATGATACCTTTTCGAACACTGTCGGCTCTAACGAGTCACGACACTTTTATCAAACTGTTATCGCCCGAATAACAAGGTATCTGCACCATTGTCAGATATAGAAGTGATATACCGGAAACGGTCTCTCCTTTCGAAATATTCTGCTTCCGGTACTTTCGAGTCAGGCCTAGAAAAACATTTCTTAGAATTACTTACTGCGGTTCTTGAAAGTTGAGATTTCAGTTGAAGTATTTCCCATTGCTAGTCGACATGTATTATTATGCACACCTAAAGGGTTTGCTGAAGGAATCGGCTGTGAATAAGTTTTGAATTAGGTTTGAAGTTTCAACTTTGTTTCTAGTTTTGTATTATTTTGGTAACTGCTGTGTGAAATAAGGTTTTGTTTTGAAAGTTTCTCACCGATCATGTTTAATCATGTTTAATCCGGACGCTAGATCATGATGGGGAATTTCTCTATGTCGCCTGAATAAAAGACGTTTGAATGTTTTTGATAAAAAAAAAGGATTTCTCATATTCTTGTATCTACGGGGAGAAGGTGGGTAGTGCAATTTCACTTCATGAAAAATATCCTACAAATTATGATAGAAAACAAAGTCAGAGATAATTGATTGATGCTTAGGTTGTGATAGGGTTAAGCAAATGTTTAAGGGTAGGTATAAGACAAGGCTCACGTGTAGTGTTTGGTCTTGGGTTGAAGTTAAGACTTCGGTTCGTTTTAGAAGTTGACCGGGGCGCCTATATCACGGGTGCATGGTTCATTATGATCTGGATATAAGATCTAATGAAGATGGTAAGACATTGAAGAATACCACTTCTTGATTACGTTTGGAAGTTAACGTTTTATTGTTGGTAATTGCTTGTGACTGTCAGCATAACTCAGTCAATATCTTATTATTTTGATGATTCCTTAACCTCACTCTAACCTTTTCTAATGCTTCCAACGCTTCTAGACAGTCTCTTCCACAATGCAATCGCGTGATCAGAACTCTATTTTAGCTTCCAATGCATAGGGACTCTTGTTTGCCGCAAAGTATAATGTACCCTTTATCAGAGCCTCGTGTTTCTCATTAGAAACATTTCGAGAATATAAGTCGCTAAACATGAATTTCTTTGTTAAGTGGAAAATAATGGTTGTTCTGTTTAATGTGCCAATGAACTGACGGATCTATCCCCTCTGCATTCCCGACATGTTATGACTAAACCACACGAAGAAGAGGCAACCTGTTTTTAGCATCTCTAATGCTATTTGGAATGCCGTTGAACCGTTTTGCTTACTCTATGCCGCCAATCGCTTCGAAAACAAACGAGAATTCGACGGAAAGCTGAAGATGTAGGTGAATCTGTACTTGACGGTTTGTATTGGTGTCCGTCTCGTGTTGTTTTAAGACCGGGCATGTTTGGATAATGCAAATATGGGATTCTCGGCTGACTCTCAATCTATGTCGCCGTCACTTCTGTCTCTCTCCCGCTGTGGTTTGGGTCATCTTAAGCAGGAGGTCTTCCGTCGGCATCAGTCCGTACAACGTTGAGCAATTTCTGCTAATCCTGTTTGAATTGTGAGACGTTTGGACGGAAGCAACGTACCACAGAGTGCTTTCCGAGAAATGACGAAAACAAACCAAACACAAAATAGCTTTTAGGCACTCTAGAAGTCGTGAAACTTAATTTGGCTTATCCTTTCTCCGTTTATAAGTTTATGTCCATACTGTGTTTCGAATTCGGATGATTTGTAAGACGGAATATACAATTCTTGCTAGAGTGACAATGTGATATCTTGTTAATTCTAGAACCCTTGGTCGTCTAGAAGCGTACAAATCGCATACACAGCACTGTGTCATGTACCTGAAGCTCAAGTCATGGGGGAAATAAGTTTTCCTTCGAAACAAACATTAAATGTATCGTTCACATTCAGCCATCGAGTATTAAAGTACAGGAGTGGGGCGGAAGATGGCATTAAAGTTCTCTGACGTAAATCATTAAACACTTTCTAGTTACTTTCTTTTCCCGAGTTCTGAGAGAGTTTCGACACAGAGAATCTCACAGCCATGTGAAGCTCCCCTGATATTTCAATCCCCTCCTCACACAGAAGTAGTAATCAATCGCCGCAGGGGTGGAGTTGTTGGTGGTGGAGAAGGAGGGCAGTGTTTAATGCATCTCGAATTGCTCTTGGGGTTTTTGACCTGAATTAATTACCTCTGGAAGCTTAGTCCCACTTTCCTTCCCGCCACTGCAGGATCGTAAGTCGATTTCCAAACGTCTGTCAGTATTAGACTCATCGTCGCGAACCCCCCTCCTCCCCGAAGGAGATGAGGGGAACACAAAATGAGGTCGAGGAGGAGGAGG